TATATATATATATATATATATATAGTACTGTCCTGAATAAGCAACTTCACATAACAAATGTTTACATATAGACAAGACAAAAAAAAATGTATACACAAATGAAGTAGTTCAAAAGTTTACATACACTTGAATCTTAATACTGTGTCTGCCACAGACTTTTCCATTTTTCTTCTCTTAATGCCGTCTTACAGATTGCTTTTCTTTCTTGTATATGTGGACTAAATTGCTCAAATTTATTGTAATGGTCAACCACAGTTTCAATAAATAAATTACAAAAAAATGATATGGTTCACCATTGGGGGGCCGATGATCTCTGTGAAGCCATAAATCATGCAAACTCACTGAGCTCAGAACAACGTCTGTGAACAAACGTCTCACCGTCTGATCTCAGATCGGTTTTATACATTTGTAGCCGTTTTGATGAGACATTACAATGAAAAGGGATAATAGTAGTTTATAATCTCTTACAGGCCTGTTCAGCTGAGCCATCCATAGAACAAACCAAACAAACCCTGCAAATTGCTAAAAGAACAAATATTATGGTATTAGATTATTAGATGATCATTTGATAGATTATACTTTAGATAAATTATTTGCAATGAGTTTGTAAAAGCTGGTTTTATGCATGTTTGAGCTGAGTTTTTGTTGTATTTACACTGTTTTGACCAGCAGGTGTCGCTAGCATGTGGCAAGCGTTTCTAAACAGTGAATCATTTCCTATCACCACAAGAAACAATCAACAGAACAGGAGGACTGGGCAAAGACTAAACAAGAGGGTGTGGTAAGGGGGAAAACAGGGCCTGAGGAGCGCATGGCCAACATAAACAAAGACAAAGCCACGTGATACACCCAACAAATATGAAACAAGACTGCAGAGCAGAACCGTGACATATTCAGGACAGCAGCCTACTAAATAAACATTTGATTTATTTTTCTTATCTTAGTTTTAGTCCTGCTGTTTACATTTAATTTCCATTTTTAAATGAATTAATTTGATATATTTTGCATTTGTCAGAAGTTGTATCTAAAGTGACTCAATACATTTAATATATTTCAGCATCTACCCACGGTATGGTGCCATTTTATTTTTAGGTGAGGTTTTTTGTACCATCACTGGACTTCACAGTGACTGGATTGACTCTGTTTACAAATTACAACCTTCTGTTTGTTGTTCAATTGTGTCGTTGACCAGAAGACAGATTGTAACAATTAGTACACGTCTTACGATCGCGCAAACCACACACTGCCAACAACATACACAAGATAAATACATTCCTGTCGAATATAAAGCGAATGGCGCAGATGCAAAACAAACTGCATCACTTTCGCTTGTGTCATCAGCCGGAAGAGAAACTGTAGCAGGTCTAAATGTCTCACCATGGTCGAGTAAACACCATAGCAACGATGATAATACAACAGAGAGAAGCTTCATGTTCACTTGAGCTGAGTTTTTGTTGTATTTACACTGTTTTGACCAGCAGGTGTCGCTAGCATGTGGCAAGCGTTTCTAAACAGTGAATCATTTCCTATCACAAGAAACAATCAACAGAACAGGAGGACTGGGCAAAGACTAAACAAGAGGTTGTGGTAAGGGGGAAAACAGGGCCTGAGGAGCACATGGCCAACATAAACAAAGACAAAGCCACGTGATAAACCCAACAAATATGAAACAAGATTGCAGAGCAGAACCGTGACATATTCAGGACAGCAGCCTACTAAATAAACATTTGATTTATTTTTCTTATCTTAGTTTTAGTCCTGCTGTTTACATTTAATTCCCATTTTAAATTAATTAATTTGATATATTTTGCATTTGTCAGAAGTTGTATCTAAAGTGACTCAATACATTTAATATATTTCAGCATCTACCCACCGTATGGTGCCATTTTATTTTTAGGTGAGGTTTTTTGTACCGTCACTGGACTTCACAGTGACTGGATTGACTCTGTTTACAAATTACAACCTTCTGTTTGTTGTTCAATTGTGTCGTTGACCAGAAGACAGATTGTAACAATTAGTACACGTCTTACGATCGCGCAAACCACACACTGCCAACAACATACACAAGATAAATACATTCCTGTCGAATATAAAGCGAATGGCGCAGATGCAAAACAAACTGCATCACTTTCGCTTGTGTCATCAGCCGGAAGAGAAACTGTAGCAGGTCTAAATGTCTCACCATGGTCGAGTAAACACCATAGCAACGATGATAATACAACAGAGAGAAGCTTCGTGTTCACTGCTTTCCCTAAAAATAAATGTAGATTGTGATCCATAAAAGTGTTCCGTTGGCGTTGTTCTGAAATGTTCGGTGTCGGAGATGGGCGGAGCATCCTGGGCTGCGTTCAGCCCTGACAAACACGGAGCAAAACGGTTTTTAAACGGAAACTATGGCAGCTGAGAAGGCCATTCTTTGTGTTCTTTTTGAAGAATTTTCAGAACCTGATGAAATCGGTATAAATACGTGTTTAATACTGCAAAATACGCTCGATGTTACAGTCACTGCCCTTGCCCTCCAGAATAACAGAGAACATCCCAATCGAATAAAGGGATTTGTGGAAACTGGTAATTAATTAATTATTGTGATCCAACATTTGCCTCGCATTTCAGGATGAAAAGACAAACATTTCAGGTGAAGGATAATCCACTTCTTACCTCCGAGACTGTGTTATGTATATGTATATGTATAGGATGTATATGACCTGTATATGACCTTATTATTTTTATTGTGAGTATTCGGCTTATCATATATAAATATGTATAGTATTTTTATATTACATTAATCAGTGTCTAGCACGCCTTCCTAAGGAAAGGATATGGACCGGAAGACATTGCAATTAGCCTACTAAATGATATTTAGACAGACTTCAAGAAGTTCCAGATCTATACTTGTGCTCTTATTATTTCAGTTATTTTGCCTTTAATGTAAATAAACATGTGCAAACAATACACTTGCGCTTGTGCATTTATTTGGATGTTAATTACATTGTGTGAGCTGTCTCTTTAATACCGCGTGGTTTATATACATGTTGCTGCTGATTGGGGTGACATGTTTGACACACACCCACCAAACAAGAGAAAACGCATCTCAAACCCCGTTGCACAACGTTTCCAGGAAACATGTCGTTCAAACCGGAAACCGTAGCACAACGGTGCACACCGGATTGAGCTTGAACTTGCCCCTGGTTCGTATTAAAGCGACACTGAAAATATCAGCGCGTACTCCCCGGATCATAAAAGCTTTTCAAAAAGGAAATTATGATTCAGTGTCGAATGATGTTAAGCTTAGAATATAACTTGTTAATATGCAGGATAGATAGATAGATAGATAGATAGATAGATAGATAGATAGATAGATATGGATGGATGGATAGATGATGGATGGATAGATGGATGGATGGATAGATGATGGATGGATAGATGATTGATGGATGGTGAATGGATGGATGGATGGATAGATGATTGATGGATGGATGGATGGATAGATGATGGATGGATAGATGATTGATGGATGGATGGATGGATAGATGATGGATGGATAGATGATTGATGGATGGATAGATGATTGATGGATGGATAGATGATTGATGGATGGATAGATGATTGATGGATAGATGATTGATGGATGGATAGATGATTGATGGATGATTGATGGATGGATGGATGGATGATTGATGGATGGATGGATGGATGATGGATAGATGATTGATGGATGGATGGATGATGGATAGATGATTGATGGATGGATGGATAGATAGTGTCGTGGTTTGACGTAATGAGGTATCATAGGCTATGCTCAAGTATAACTTCTACATGTGCTGGAACTCAAAGAAAGCAGATGTAAACGCTTTCAGAAATGAAACTAATAAAGAATTTGACCACTAGAGGGATGAGCAATATTCCCAAAAATGATGTGTGCTGTTTGCTTTGTCAAGCATGGCATCCCTACTATTACTTATATTCGGGGTATTAATAACGAACACCGCTTGAAATAAATAAATAAAAAACTAAACATTTAAAGCATTGTTAAAGCAATTTACCATTTCTTTACAAAATATTTACTGGTTACTTTTCCTACTATAAAACCATAATTTTATGCGAGATCTTCAGAGTCTAAGATACCAAAAGTTTAGCTTTTTAGTGTCTGATATCAAATTACCACACTTTTACTGTAATAATAATCACTATAATAAGTGTTACTTTACGAAAGAGTGTAAGATACAATACTAGTACAAGTGGTATGCATACTGTATTACTGGTGCGCCACCTAGTGTTAAAGATGAACATTTATTTAATCAGAAAGTCATGTGAATGATTAGCTTATTTCTAATAACAAACTCAGAAATGTCACGACAAACTCAGATTCAAGTTAAGAGTGAATCAGATCTGCTTTAATGTCATTTATTATATGAACATACAAAGACCTTGCAAGTTCCTTTCCATTTTCCTGTAAATAAAACAGTATTTATATAGGCAAGGCCTTCACAGCACCTTTCCTTGGTTGATGCAAAGTATAAAAAAAGCACCTTGATGACACTTCTAAATCCTGCCATTGATTTGGGAATTTCAGATCTCAGATCTGAGATTTAATTATTTAATTAATGAGAAAATAATAAAAAATAACGAGATTTAATTATTTAGATCGGAGATCTGCTGATGTTCTGTAGGCAGACAGCGAGCTCTTTGAACAAAAGAGAGATTTAATATAATTTTACTTAATATAAGTAAAAGTATAAAGGGATGTGCAGCAGTTAGTAACAAGTATGGAACATAATAAACTAATTAAATATCATTAAAAAAACACATATTTGGCATTTTATTGCCGTTTTTCCCCACTGCTTTTTTTTTAGTGCAGTTATTACAGGTTCAGTTCCTGAGATTCAGAGTTTGATCAAGGACACAATGGTGAGATTTCATGGATCAATCCTTGCAGGATTTGAACCGTCAACCTTTCTTTAACCATACAGCTGCAACACCAAAACAAACAAATAAATTGCTTCGTAGACTCAAACACAAATAAACTGATTCCTGCTATAAACATCAGCTTTGAGTAATATGAATGTTATGAATAACAGCACACTGGTGTTTTCATTAGGCATGTTCCTTTAGTGTTGTCAAACGACAATAGCACAACTTTAAAGACTGTAATATTACTAGTATTGGTAGTACAGACTCAATTCAGTACCTGTGAGTTGATTGATGGCAGCTCCTCTGTAAAAACTGATTGTTTTTTAAGTATTAAATGACTTGATTCAAATTACTTGTTTCACATTCATTTCTAAATGAACCGTCTTTATACTGAAAAACATCAAGCACTATTGCTGTCACGATTTCGGTTCATGGACTTCCGTTTGTTCACCACCTGATGTCACCCTTTCCATTACATTGACTCAAACTGTTGCATAGCACCCCGGACTACATTTCCCATCATTCTTTGCACAATTTGCACACTGCCCTGATTGCACTCATTTCACACAGCTGTTTCTAATTACCTCACTCATTATATAACACCCACTCTTACCACATTTCTCTGCTGAGTATTGTTTAGCCTGTACCCCTTTCAGAGTCTCCGTGTTTTCCTAGTTTTGCCTTGCCTTGTCTGTTTTTCTCCGGTTTTGATCTTCGCCTGTTTTCCTGGATTCCTCCCTTTAGCCTTGCCCCTGTGATTCTGTCTGCAGTTCATCGACCCACGCTAGCCCTAGGATGTTTGTCCCCCTTATGCAAGTACTATCACATGCTTTATTTTATGCAATACAAACTATGCAATGAGATCCAACTTTCTGTAACAATACTAATTCCTTTTGTTCAAATAAATCCATTAAATAGTTTCACAAATGTGCTATATGTTCAAAAATGCTTTTTAAAAAGGTTTTATGCAGACAGACTGTTGGGCAGTCAGAGGGCAAATATGTCTGAGACTCAACACTTTATCAACTACCAACCGCCTGTCAACTGACATCCAAATTAGACTGTAAACAGACTCCAGTCAAAGTGAATCACTCTTGTTGAAAAAGTCTATATTGTCTGGTTTATCATAGCCTTTCTTTTCTTGGAGTGCTTGAGCTTCGTCTTGCTTTTGAGGGGGGTTCAACACTCCATATCCTCTTCCATTCAGTGCATTGTTCCTTTCACCGCTGATTAAAATCTTGTTTAAACAGCCACCAGACGTAACACGCCATCAGCGTGTCCACAAATTCTCCTGAGCTGATGAACACAATAGCTGCATTCCTTGACAAAAAAACTCCACATATCTACAGAGACCTGGAGATTCTTGGAATATGAGATCAAAACAACCGTATTTTTCACTTATAATTAAAAATACACCCAAAATGGATACACTTCACATTTTGGACTATACCCAATGGTGAAGACATTGTGAAGACATCCCCTCTGGTTGGCTTTTGCTTTGTCTTTAGCAATACAGCCACAGTGACAAAAAGAGCTTACGAAATTAATGTCTAATGCTGATATAAAATGTTTGTGTAATTTGGGAACAATCTGTTAAAGAATGTATGAGATAATTAGTCATAAAGTTCATGCCCTTTAGCCATGCTTCCCTCAATCAGAGAAAGCATTCATTTGAAGCGTTGGACTGACTTTTCTGTTACATCAAAATGCATGATTTTTATAATAAATTATTCTATATTTGATCAATTTAAATTCGAAATGACTTTTCTTGTTCATATTGCTTTGTCAATATCTCTGTCGGTCAGAAGCAGTGTAATTTTAGCATTATTGTTTTAATCATTTTTGTTAATATTTTTAATTAAATTGTATTTGTATATTTTGTTTTTATTTAAAGTTTAAGTTTAAGTATTGTTTTGTTTGTTTTTGACATTTTTATTATTATTTTCAAAATATGCATGTATAGGTTTAGTTAAGTTAGTACTTCAGTTTAAACTTGTCACGAATCCGGTCCATGAACTTCCAATTTCATTGACTCTCGCACTACACACTGTTGCACATCACCCCGGACTACATTTTCCATCATGCATTGCACTGATTACACTCAGCACGGATTGCACACAGCTGTTTACACTGATTGCACCCAGCTGTTTCATATCACTCCCTCACTATTTAACACTCACTCTGATCCTTTCCCTCTGCCGAGTATTGTTTCAGCGATTATCACTTCCCTAGTGATAGCTACACTACAGAGCCCTTAGCCTTAGCCTTAGCCTTAGCCGCTTTCTGATCTTCGCCTGGTTTCCTGGATTTCTCCCTTAGTCTTGCCTCTTCTGATTCTGTCTGCCAATCGTCAAACCCACGCTAGCCCTAGGATTATTCTTGTGTTTTGCCCGCCATATACCTGTCTGCCTCTGTTTGACCCTGCCTGCTTTATGACCATGTCTCTGTCTTCTCCACAATAAAAGCTTTGCGAATGGATCCGCACGTCTCACGTCTCGTCAGCCCCGTAACAGAATACTCGGCCACACAAGGATCCAGCAGCTTTCTCAGTGGACTCTGGCCTGGTATGGACCCAGTCACCGAGCTACTACATCTTCGGCAGGGAGGTCGTTCGATTGAGGAGTATGTTCACCGGTTCTGTGAACTATCTTACCAGGTACCACTATATGATGAGATTTTGTTTAAAGACTTGTTCCGTTCTTGTACAGTTTATTATCCTGAGTCTGGTCAAGTCACAGCTGATATTCATGAGTCCCGTCA